TGTCTGTTTATTGCTACTTGTATGTATTTAAAACAAAACTACAAAACTCTGTGAATCTGTCTGGTGGGAGTATTTGACCCCGAGGAAGGCAATGATGCCAGCACCTAGCAGTACCAGCAGAAACATACCTGAGCTCCAGTCACCCACCTGAAGTTCATACGCACCACACCGCACTCCTGGGGCAGGCCCAGTCTGAGTGCATGTTCTCTACAATGCCACCCCAGCTCCTCTAGGTGAGAGGGTGTGATCTGTTACAATGATGCTTAAGTTATTACCATGGTAACTGTTGTGTGTTTAGTATGTGCTTGATGATAAATCTTTTAATAAAAGGAAGTAAATCATTTGCAAACACATTTTGTTTTTTACCTTTTATTAATTACTAGTGCCCTGGTGCATGGATTTGTGCACATTGAAAGGAAATCAAGTAGAAGGTGGCCGGCAGGGCAGGACTGGACAAGATGGGCTGGACATGTCCTGGAGCCAACCTCTCATGGTCCCTCCCTGGCCAGCCGCACCTGTGATGGCACTGTGGCTCGCAGGGCATCTGCAGAGTGAGTGGGGTGCCTCTGGCAGATGGGGTCCTTCGGCCTGGTCTTCGGGGATCGAGCTGAAACCGGCTCTCCAGCATCCCTCGAGCGGTCCCAGATTGTGAGAGGGAGGTTCTCGGGAGATGCATCCCATAATCAGGCTCCCTCCTCTCTGGTTCTGGGGTGCTTCACCCAAGAACTGCTGCTGCAAAGTCACTGCAGCTTGGCAGCTCCTGTGTTTAGTGTCTGCCCCCAGGTGGTCAGTGCGCATCATATCTACCAGCCTGTCGGCCGGTTGGCCGGTCACTTAGCCTTTTATATATATATAGATTGCTTGTTACCCACCTGACAGCTGATGGAGGTGCCGGAGAGTCTTGGCCGGGGTTGAGAACTGGCTCTGCCAACCTTCAGTGTCCCCAGAGTCCCACTTGTTGTGGAGAAATCAGGAGCACCCAGTGCCGAGCGGAAGGTGAGACCCCAGCCCCACTTCATAGGAAGGAGAGCACCTCCCTGACTAAGCCAGGACAGCCGGAGTAGCTGTGAAGTTTTAGGGAAGGGAGGGGTGGGCAGGCAAGGATGGAAGCCCCTGGGGCATCATAGCACCAGTTCTCAAACATTTTCGTTTTAAGTTTTAGGACCAATGTACGTGCTTAAAAATTATTAAAGCCCCAAAGATCTTATGTTTATGAGGGTTATATCTTTCAAAATTAGGTGGGGCGGGGTCTCAGGGATTCACCAGGGCGGAGCAAACAGAAATGGCTGCCAGTCAGCCCTGTACTGGGGAGAACCCAGCATGGGAACAATGACCCCTGCAAGCACCGCCGTCTGGAAGAAAGCCACCCCCGAGGTCCTGCCAATGCCCGACAATCCAGTTTCTCTTTGTATGTGTCTGGGTCCCCCAGAGCCTCACCTGGCACTGGAGCTCAGAGGAAGTGGGAGCTTGTAAATTCAGTTTGTGGTGCTGGCCTTTTAAGAGAAGCAGCTGGGTCTCCAGCAGCCTGTGTATCACTGAGCCCCAGTCCACACTGGTTTTTATAGCCTGTAGTTCTTACTGCCTGTAGGGACTTCTTTTCCCAGCTCTGGGAGCCTGGGCTGGGGGTCTTGTGTGGGGCTGGGACTCCTAGTTCCTCCAGGCGGCCTCCACAGAGGCAGTCTCCCTCCCAATTGAAAAAGGGGCACACTTGGGTGCTGGACCAGCCTGTTCCTCACTCCCCACCTCCTACCAGCCTCAGTGTGCTTTCTTCTTTACTCCTCTAGTTGTAGTACTTCCATTCAGCCAGCTTTCCGGTGGTTCTGGATGATGGTTGTTCTGTATTTTAGTTGTAATTTTGGTGTGGTTGTGGGAGGCAGTGAGTATAGGCATTTGCCTATGCTATCCTCTTGGTTCTCTGAGGAGGATATTTTTCCCATTGCTTTTTAGAGAGAGTAGAAACCAGGGGGAGAGGCAGAGGGAGAGAAACATCAGTGTGAGAGAGATGCATCGATTGGTTGCTTCTGCATGCGGCCCAGTTGGAGCCAGGGATCAAGCTTGCAACCGAGAATATGCCCTTTACCTGAATCGAACCTGTGACCCTTCATTTGGGGCAGGCGGAAGGGACCCAGAGCTCTAACCACTAAGAAAACGGGCTAGGGCTGGGGTTGTTTCCTTAGTTTCCCTTTTTGATAGTTTGTTTTATTGGTGTATTGTGGAAAGCGGCTATAGCATTTGGACAGGTTCAAGCCTCAGACTAATGACAGAACATGGTCCTCTCGTGGCAAAGCCATGTGTAAGTCCCAGCTTGGAGGGCAAAGCCCTCCCAGCACAATTACAGCCAAAGGCTATAGTTGTAAGTTTGACCTTATGGTCTGAACCGGTGGTCCCAGGTGGCTAAGTGAGGTAGGCTGTGGGAGGTGCAGCAAGTGCTGCCAAAACAAAGCTTGATAGAGTTCAGGTGCATGTAATTGAGTAGATTCAAAACCCATGAGAATATTGTAAACATCTTGACTGCCTTTCCTTTGCTTTTTTATTCAGTGGTTTCTTTTTTTAATATATTTTTTATTGATTAAGATATTACATATGTGTCCTTGTCCCCACGTTACCCTCTACCCCACCCCCCGCTCATGCCCTCACCCCGCCCCCCCGTTGTCCGTGTCCATTGGTTAGGCCTCTATGCCTGCATGTAAGTCCTTTGGTTGATCTTTCCCCCTTACCCCCACCCTCCCCTACCCTCCCTCCAAAGCCCGACAGTCCAATCAATGCCTCTCCGTCTCTGGATCAGTCCTTGTTCATCAGTTTATGTTGTTCCTTATATTCCACAAATGAGTGAGTTCATGTGGTATTTATTTGTAAACATCTTGACCACACTTTGCCTCATGGAATCTGGCTATAAAATACTCTGTTTGCAAGCTGTGGCACTGTCTCTCCATCCGAGAGCAGTGTCCCACCTAGCCTCAGCTTTATTTTCTTATCTGTCTTCTTTAATCCTTCACCTGCCCCCCGCCCCCCCAGGTTCACCTCTGGTCATGCTGAGCGCAGCACAGTGTATAAAAGTGCAACCAATTTCTGAATATTTATTTTGTATCCTGCTACTTAACTAAATTCATTTATCAGACCTAGTAGTTTTTGGTGGAATCTTTAGGGTTCTCTATATACAGTATCATGCTATCTGCAAATAATGACAGTTTTACTTCTTCCTTTCCCATTTGGGTGCTTTTTATTTCTTTGTCTTGTCTGATTGCTGTAGCTAGGACTTCCATTACTATCCTATATAATAAAAGTCTGATATGCAAATTGAACAAACGAACGAAGGACCGGTTGCTATGATGCACACTGACCACCAGGGGACAGATGCTTCATGCAGGAGCTGCCCCCAGCCCATAGGCCCCAGGCCAGCCAAGGTGGGTGCCAGTGGGGGGTCCCGAGATTGCCCTGTTGGTCGCTCCCCGGTTGCCCCGTAGAGGGTGGTGATCAGTGGCTGGGGACGGGGCCAGTGAGCAGGTGGCGCCAGCCCGACCAAGGAGGGTGCCAGCAGGGACCCCCTGATTGCCCCGTTGGTCACTCTGCCAGCACCTGGAAGCTGCAGATCAGCCCTGATTGCCGGCCAGGCCTAGGGACCCTACCATTGCACAAATTTTATGCACCGGGCCTTGCACAAATTTTATGCACCGGGCCTTGCACAAATTTCATGCACTGGGCCTCTAGTGTTGAATAAGAGTGGTGAAAGTATACATTCTGTCTTGTTCCTGATTTTAATGGAAACACTTTTAGTTTTTCCCTGTGGAGTATGATATTAGCTGTGGGTTATCATATATGGCCTTTATTATGTTGTGATATATTACCTTTGTTCCCACTGTGCTGAGAGTTTTTATCATAAATGGGTGCTGGATTTTATCAAATGCTTTCTTTGTATCTATTGATATAATCATATGATTTTTAGTCTTCATTTTGTTCATGTGGTGTATCACGTTAACTGATTTGCTGATATTGTACCAACCTTGCATCCCAGGAATAAATCCCACTTGATATAATATTTTTAATGTATTTATGAATTTGATTTGCTAATATTTTGTTGAGAACTTTTGCACCTATATTCATCAGGGATATTGGCCTATAATTTTCTTTCTTTGTAGTGTCTTTATCTGGTTTTAGAAGTAGGATAGTGTTGGCTTTATACAATGAGTCTGGGAGTCTTCTCTCCTTTTGACTTTTTTGGAATAGTTTGAGATAGGTGTTAGTTCTTTGAATATTTGATAAAATTCACATGTGAAGCCATCTGGTCCAGGACTTTTGTTTGTTGGAAGTTTTTTTTTTTCCTGCTTTGATTTAATTGGTTGTAATCAATTTGTTCATATTTTCTGTTTCTTTTTGATTCAGTTTTGGAAGATGGTATGTTTCTACAGAAGTTCCTTCTAATTAAACACTAACTACTCATGTGTATGGATATTAGAACAATTTTTTTTGATAGGTCCACACCTCTTATTATGGCTACCTTTTTGAGATAGGAAGTGAAAACTTAAGTTAATGGTTTCTAATGTAGTGAGTTTCTTTGATATTGTTAAATGTTTATTAACAATATCTAATGTTTGTCAGAGTGCTTTTACTTGTTCTTTTTTCAATTCCTTTTTATATCCATTAACTTATTTAACTAAGTGAGTAAGGTGCCTTCAAAAATAGCTTTAAGCCAGCCCTGGCTGATGTGGTTGAGCTAGTTGGGGGATTATCCCATACACTAAAGGATGGTGGGTTTGATTCCTCATCAGGGCACGTCTCTAAGCTTCAGGTTCCATCCCTGGTTGGGGCGTATGGGAGGCGACCGATCGATGTTTCTGTCTCACATCCATGTTTTTTTCTCTCTCAAATCAATAAAAAAAAATTGTGTCCTCGGATTAGGATTTAAAAACAAAATAGCATTAAGCCAGTGCAGGAATATAGAAACAGCCCTGTACTGTCGATGTGTCCAGTAAATTAGGCAGCCATTTTATCTGCTTGTTCAGAATATTTCAACACCAATAATTCATAATTTTGTTTCTCTCTTTAAGATCCACACGGGTTTACAGCACCAAATAATCTGGGCCTGTCAGCCCAGCTGCGTTCCTCTGGATGAAAAACTCCTGCCCCAGCTCCTAAAAGAAGCAGGCTACACTACCCACATGGTCGGAAAGTGGCACCTGGGAATGTACCGGAAAGAATGCCTTCCAACCCGCCGAGGATTTGATACCTACTTTGGTAATGGAAATGCACATGTTGCTTTAACAACTCAGGCTGACTGCAGCCATCTCATAAAACACACCCACGTGCGATCGAATGAAATACTGTAACTGGAAACTTGAACACAGAGTGAGCCAGTCAGCACCACTGTGGGGCCACTGTCTAATGCCACCTCCATAGCGTGGCTCATGACCCCACAGGGAGGCAGTTTCCTTTGCCAGGTGACTTAATGCCACGTTGGAGCCTTTGGAAAATGTGCTACCTTCACATCCCAGACCACTGTACTCTTAGAGAACCTTACTGTCAAAAGGGGTTACAAATGATTTTTTTTTAATTGCAAGCAAAACCCAATACAAGAATATTTCCTTCACTAAGGTGTGGAATATGTTTTTCTCCCTGTGAGCTGTGTAGAGAGGTTTTTTGTTTGTTTGTTTGTTTGTTTGTTTTTAAAGATGGTGGAGAAGATTCTTTTCCATTGGCATTCTTCTCCCTTTCTTACAGTTCTGTTTTTGAAATCACTAGATTGGGGGAAATAGATAAAAAAATAAAATCTGAGGAAAAGTACAGATAATAATAGGAAGGATAATAAGAAATTATACATATCTTATGAACTTGAGAGCTCTATAATAAATAACATGAAGCCTAAAGTTTATTTTTAAATGTGCCCTCTTTAAATCTGTTCAGAGCCGTCTTAATTAACAACGTGTTTATTTTGACAGTGGCTATATATCTCTGCCAGGTTCTTTTTCATACTGCTCTTTCTATCTAGCTATTTCGCTACCTACCTCCCTTTTTATATATGTTCATTTATTTTCAACTTGCCATATCTGAAAAGGAGTACGTATTTCAGCATAAAACATTTACAAATAAATAGGATAAAAAATTAAGACAAATAGAAAAAAGATGGAACAGTTGCTTGGCACAAAATTAAGAAAACCACTGCATGGTTGTAGTAGGTGGGCTTCACATTCAACTCTGAGAGTTGAAATTTTTTATGTCCAAAGCAAAAGAAAAAAAGGGTAAGTCTATAAGAGTCACATTATTTATAAGATAATGGAAACCAGATGTTCAGGAAGAGTAAAGCATTTTCTGGCTCTTAGACCTAAAAGAAATTCCTCCTTTGGGAGAAGGTAAGGTGGAGAGCGTCCTCAAAGACATCATTTTAGTAATAAAGTGGTGGTTTTCTTACAGATGTTTCCTGAGGCATTTTCTCTTATTCAAGCTGGGGCCAGAGCACCAACGTGCATTTCAGTAAAAGTGATTTCATGGGGCCCAAACAATGCAGTCGAAGCAGGTAGCTCTGTAACGCTTGTTGGGTGAGGATTAAAGTTGAGCTGCAAGGACCTCGGACGTGAGATCTTGTGTGCCCTGGGCCGTCCAGGTTCTCTAGCAGACATCACTAATCAATCATGGCATTCTCTGTGCGTGAACTAGACACACCCTGAGTATCCTTAAACAGCTGTGCAAGATCATCCTGGATGTAAGACCTCTGTCATTTTGGAAATTCTAAAAGAAAAAACAGCCTGTACACTCTTTGAAATTTTTCAGTCAGGTCTTTGCTAAAATATGGATCAGTATCTATACTGTGAGAAGAGAAAAACTATGGATATTTTTTAAAAATCATTAAAAAAACAAGTTATATATTTAGAAATTCAGGGCTTAGATGGACAGACAGATCTCACGCTCCTATGGGTTGGAGACTTGCAAATAAGGAAGGCGTAATGACATGCAGCTGCCATCACTGTTTGGTCCCGATGTTCTGTAAAAAGCAGTCAGATAATTAGGGGGCTGGTTGCAAAACTGCAAATACACTGCACACGATTGAATTATAGACTTTAAATGGGAGACTTGTATAGTATGTGAATTATATCTCAATAATGCTGTTAAATAGAGCCGTGGGAGATTTAGCTGCTCAGAAAGTATTTTCTCTTTTTCTCCCAAAACGCCTAGGCCGCCATCTTCTTTAGGCTCAGCATGTAAGTCCAAATTTGTGAATCATTCTTATGAGAGAAGCTCTATGTGATTGTAACATGGATGCTTGGTGTCAGTTTGGGCAAGTATGTGAATAAATAGTTGTATTCTGGAATCCTATTTGTAATATCTTTTTATTATTTGCAGTTCACCCTCTTTTAATCAAGTATATCCTAGGCATATTTTCTCCCAAATGATAAAAATAGTTTACATTTATAGATAATGAACCCGAAGTGATTTTCTCCAGGACTGATACCTAGTAGTTATTAAAAACCCCAAATAGAACCCCAGTGCCATGACCCCTCTCCAAACAGATTTAGGGGCTGAAACTATTTTTGTGGACACATTTCTTTCTCTATTACATATTAGTTAGCAAACCCATTGGGTTTCCCTTTTTGTTATATATGTAGGAGAAAAATTACAATTTAAAACATTATCTTAAGACCATTGTTCACTATATTTAGCACCATGAATTTAGTGAAACATGGAAAAGGAGGAAATAAATAAAAAATGAATTGATTTATTGTGTAAGCTGTGTAAGGCTCTTAATTGTGATTATAGGAAACATTCAGGACTGGGGAAAGGGCTAGGCCAATTTATCATCCGCATTTTAAGGTTAATCAGTATTTGTCAGGTGATAGCTCAGGGTCCAGCACAGCTTATTTCTTTTTAAAAGCTTTATCAAACTGTAATTCATTTATCATGCAATTCACCCAATTAAGGTGTATAACTCAATGATTTTTAATACATTCACAGGGTTGTGCCACTGTCCTCACAATTCAGTTGTAGAACATTTCCATCACACCCCCAAAGAAACCACATGTCCATTAGCAGTTGTTCCCTATTTTCCCCCAACCCCACTAGCCCTAGATGACCTCACTAACCTAGGCTTTTGTCTCTAATAGATTTGCCTATTATGGACATTTTATATGAGTGGCATCATACAATATGCAGCACAGCATATCTCTATTTATAAAAGGCTAATATGCTAAGTGTCTGACCGATTAGTCAACCGATTGGTCGACTGCTTGACCAGTCCCTATAACACACACTCACCACCAGGGGGCAGATGCTTCAACTGGTAGGTTAGCTTGCTGCTGAGGTCTGGCCGATTGGGACTGGGCGAGACGGGCCAGACAGGCCCTAGAGCCTTCCCATGGTCCCTCCCTGGCCAGCCAGACCTGATGGGCCCAGATCAGGACTGGGCGAGACGGGCCCCAATCAGCCCCAATCACCAGCCAGGCTGAGGGACACCACCCGTGCATGAATTCGTGTACTGGGCCTCCAGTTTTAATATATTAGGAAAATATGGAACATTTGCAGAAGCAACTGTTTGTTGAGAAAACTCATTTCCTCCCATGGTTAAGTCTAAATTATGAGATAGGCAGTTAATGCCATTTAAATTTGGAGTGAAATTGAGATCACAATAGGTAGAAAAGTCTAATCTTAGTGCTGCACATTAGTTTAATCATTTGGCCCTGTTATGTATAGAAATCCTCCGTTTGGAAAGCTTTGTGTCTTTGACCAGTGGGTGTCAGTGTCTGACTAAAGATGATTCCTCCTAGAGCCACTTCTATAAATAACCTTGAAGCCAGTCTTCGAAGGTCAATATCAATATTATTCAATCCCTGCATTCATTTATGTAATCACCTCAGAATAAATACTTGTAACAAATCACATTAACCATATACTATTGTAGCTATTAGATAGCTTTAAGAGATTAAGACGTTATCATCTTTACTGAATTTGAACCCTGACTTTTTAAAAATGCATTTACTTAGAATCACCCACTTTGAGAGTTACCTGATAGAGCTTGTATGCTAAAGACTTGAGTGAGGAGTGGATTTGAATTTTTTTACAATTATACTTGAATGCCATCTGCTAGAAAATACAGAGATATTAAGAAATGCTGCTCTGATTAACCTTGCCGTCAGATTAGCTTTGTCGTGGGTAATCAATTGCATTAGGTAATTAAATACTGGAACATTAGTTTAACAAGTTTTATGCCATGCTGACTACTTTCATCTCCCATTCTTGCTGTAGGATATCTCCTAGGTAGTGAAGATTACTATTCCCATGAACGCTGTGTATTTATCAACGCTTTGAATGTCACACGATGTGCTCTTGATTTTCGAGATGGCGAGGAAGTTGCAACAGGATATGAAAATATGTATTCAACAAACATATTTACCAAAAGGGCTACAGCCCTCATAACGAACCATCCACCAGAGAAGGTAAGCCTTGCCTCTTTATTGATATTAAGATTGTGTTCAGAGAGGGTCTCCACAGATGAGAATGGGAAGAGGCCATCGAGGGAAACATCTAATACATTCTAGGGGAATTATTTTCAAATTTTAGAGTGCACTAGTATCAGCCTGGGAAGCTTGTTAGAAATGGAAATTCCTGAAGCCCATAAGAGTCTGATCTCGCATGTCTGCGGGAAATCCATACCCTGGCATCTTAAAGAAACTCCTCAAGGATGATTCTGGTTAAAATGGTTCCCAGATTACACTCTGAGAAAGATTGTATCTATAGAGTTTTAGTAGAAATATAGTTTTATTATTTGGTGCATTATGTGCTTGTGCTATAAGTAATTAGCAAACTGACATTTTAAAAAAAATGGTAGGCCTATGTACAGGATGAGGTTTTATTATGGCAAACTTTCTATTAAGAGCTCACTAAACTTTAGGTTCAGGCCAAGTCCTCCAACTTTGTATTCCTCCCCCACACTCAAGATCATTTTAGCTATTCTAGATATTTTGCATCCCCTAGATATTTTGCATCCTCTAATTTTAAAATCAGCCGATCCATTTCTTTAAAAAAAAAAAATGCCTGCTTGGATTTACATTTCATTAAATCTATAGACCTTGGGAAGAATGGATGTCTTAAGGATATTGAGTGTTCCAACCCATAAACATGGCATACGGATGAGCTTGTTTTTTACATTTATCATCCTGAAACCATTGTATACTTCATATGCTAAAATCTTTTGACTTTTCTATAGGTAAAACTAGAAGAGTTTGAATAGCCTTAAACATTTTTTTGCTAGCCTAGAGTTAACCACATGAGCTAAAGTTTAAGCTGAATTCTCCGGATTTAGCTTATAAATACCTTTAAAATGGGTCAAATATTTGTGGTGTCAGATATTCGGCTCAAAATATAGCTTTACTAAGAACTGCATTAGCATAACCACAAAATTAACCTTCAGTAGGACCCTGGCAGAGCAGATCACAGAATGTGCGGTGCTGTCTGGTTCTTCCCATTTCCTGCACTTTGCCTCCTTGACAATTACTGAAGGTGTTCAGTGCAGGTCACAATTTGGATTACAGTTTATATACTTGCGAGACATGGTACCTGGCTGCTGACTCCCTTTTCTTTGTGGCTCAGTCTTTGCCCCCTTTTACTCATTATGAGGAGTCTTCCCTGGTATTTGTCCTTGGCTGTGCCACACTTTTGGCTTTTTATCCATTTCACACTGACATCTTGGCTTGGACATGCTTGCTATGGAACATTCTCTCAAATACGGAGACATGAAGATTTTATTTTATGGTTATTGTATGTGTTTTATTTTAAACTAGAGGCCTGACATTTTTTGTTGAGGAGAATATTCCCTTTGCTAGTAGAAGTGGTCAACTAATGAATGGCAGTCTACTTACTTATATAAGAGATACTGTCATCCTCCTTTTTACTGTTCCTTTTCTTACTGATTTTCTTGGCATCTTTGGATGCTTTCCAATTTATTAGAAATTGTCTTTCCATGTTTTTAATTTCTTTTCCATCAAGACAGTCTAGATAAAAATATATATGTTAAAATACAATATAGATATGTCACTATATATGTAAGATATATATATTTCTTGTTCAGGGGCACACAAACTTGTTACTCTATATGCTGAAATAAATTTCTTTTTAACATAAAAAAAATAAATAAACTAGAGGCCTGGTGCACAGATTCGTGCACCAGGTCCTTTGGCCTGGCCTGCAGGGATCGGGCCAAAACTGATCTCTGGGTCCGGGGTGCGGGTGAAGCAGATTCGGGCCCTAGCAGCTACCTAACTCACGGCCAATTCCACAAGAAATCAGGCTCCCTCCTCTACTGGTTGGAGTGTCTGTCCCCTCCTGGTCATTGGGCATCATAGCTACTCGGCGAATGGTCACTTTGGCTTTTATATATATAGATTTTTTATTGATTTTTACTGAGAGAGAGAAAAGCATTGATTTGTTGTTGTTCCACTTACTTATGCATTCATTGGTTGCTTCTTGTATGTGCCCTTACCAGGGGTCAAACCCATAATCTTGGTATGTTGGGATGACACTTTAAACAAGTAAGATACCTGACTGGGCTTAGACATATGCAGATTTTAAGAGTCTCATGCTCTACCGACTGAGCTAGCCGGGCGCCCCATATGCAGATTTTAAATCTAGAGCTACATCAATATTCAGACAGTTAAAAAGATAACTGCTAGGCAGTTGGTTTACGTTCTGAGTTTTCTTCTGTACGCTTGGCATTTTGATACAGCTAAAAACCCAAAGAGCAAGATAAGGTCTTAATGGAACTGTGGTCCTTGTCCTGTCCTTTGAGGTAGGCACTATGTTGCAAATAAGCAAGCTGGCTTAGTGAAGTTAACTAACTTGTTCAAGGTCACAGAGCTACTGAGAGTCAGAATCAGATTTTAAACCCACACTGTTTTTCTCCAGAGCCCAATGCACCCCCTATCCGCAGTTAATAGATACAACCAGAGACAGTGAGCCCAGTGCATGACTCATCCTGACCGTATATTGGGATCATCTGGAACGCTTGTAAGAAATACCAGTTCCGAATATTGTGGTTTATTGGTCCAGGGTGAGACCGTGTCATTGGTATTTAATTACCTCCCTGCCCCCACCTCCCACCTCCCATATCCCACCTCCCACCTCCCACCTCCCACCAGCGATTTTGATGTGCAGCCACTTTTGACTCCCCTCAAACACCGATTGGAAGCAGAAGCCAGCTGCCTTTTATAGGTTCACAATATAATCATGGAACTAGAGGATGCCTACAATACAATTAGGTCCCATTAAGGAACAATGGAGTATCTCTCACAGTGCCCGTAACATTAGGAGGATAAGAGGAGGCAGCTGGGGTGAACTAGTTCTTGGTGTGTGGGTTGCCTTAACTGATGTAGTGTGGACAGCACAGGAACTGAGGACAACTGTAGGCCCCAGCGCTCACAGCCACCCACACCCGTGTTGTTAGTGTGGTGCTGCTTAGAGGTAACATCAGGAAATTGCCACGAGGGGGTGGTTGTTTTCCTCTCGTGTCTGAAATATTCTGAAGCCACATCCAGCATTCCTAACATCCTCAAAGTAAAATTTCAAGCATAGACGTAAATGAATGACATAGCCAATAGCTAAGTGATAGCTCAGAAAGTTTCTTCAAAATAGCAAATGCAGATGTTTTTATTTTCCGTTCTCAGTAAAATGATGTCACCCCAGTTCCAGGAGCTGGACTTTATCCCAATGCTGAATCTCCTCTTTTTTTGGTCTTTTTTATTGAATTTATTGGGGTGACATTGGTTAATAAAATTATGTCGGTTTCAGGTGTACAGTTCGATAATACATCATCCACATATTATATTGTGCTCACCACCCCAGTCAAGTCTCCTTCCATCACCGTTTACCTCCTCCCCTTTACCCTCTTCTACCTTCCCCCACCCTGACTCTTATTCTGTGCTAATTCTCAAGTGCTATATATAGACTGTAACATAAGCGACTTGTTCTAGGATGGAAATCGTTAAAGAAATTCACACAAATCCACAAGCTAAAAGTGTCCCCGTTTTAAAGAGCACTTGAGGGGACGAAGCATATGGAGCTGTTTTGTGACAGAAGGACATGGTGCTGGACTCAGAGGGACCCTGCCAATAGCCACCGCACATGTGTCGGGAAGCAGCGTCCTTTCTCCTTTTCTGCAAGATAATTCTGTCAGTACTAACACTGCAGTGTGAAAGCAGTGTATTCATAAAATATCTTTTGGTTAAAAATAGCCCCCTCAACACTTTGCAGAATAAAAATAAATCTTTTCTCACCCATCTAGTCTACTGAAAGCATCTGAAAGCAAATGCAAATTTCTGGTGGCAGACCCTTACTTTCCCTGACACATTTGAGAAAGGAATGTCTTCATTTGGAAGTCAAAGATAGAATAACAATTTAAAGCATATCATATGCTTTTTAAGTTTATTCTTTAAATTAGAAAAATGTACTAAAGAAATGAAAACAAGACTTTCTTTCTCACTGAAATTAGTGTCTCCTCATGGTGAGGATATTTAGAGTATTAGAATAGACATAATAAGAAAAGGAAACGAACCCCTAGCATCTTATGAATATGCTAATAACTTTAAGTAGTAATGTGATATTTTTATGTAATACTTAAACCTTTGGTCATGACTCACATCTAGGATTCCATTATCTAGGCCTAAGAAACCTGAAAGGGTGCAGTTGGGGTTCGTAAAGATGGCAGCTGTAACTGCATTGCTTAGCGCAGGGATCTGGACCCAAGAAAGAGCGAGGGAGAGATCTGGGTTCAGTATAAACCCAGAGGTCAGTGAAGGTCAGATTGGGTACAGGACTCCCAATCTGAGTCAGAAAGTCAGGTCAGAATGTGCCCTCAGGTCTCCAGAGGCCAAGGCTTGATTGGGTTAGAACTCAGGTCAGTAGATAGTGTGGTAATCAGAAGCTCATCCCCAGGATGGTGGCTGCTGATTTGGGCCAACAGAGGGCCTGGCTGGCAGGTGAGGGGGAATTGGCTGCTGTTAACTAGAAGGGCCTTAGGAGGAGTGGCTGTAGGTGAGTCCTGATTGTGGTTGGAGAACCTTAGAGCCCTGGGTAATTGTTCTTCCACTGGGCCACCATGGCGTACTAAGAACAGTACTCTGTAAAATGTTCTTAAATTTAAAAACAGTATAGAAACGCCTCACATCTGGCACTGTCGGGAAATAGGTTGCTTCACAAATAAAGTTCACCTTGTGAGTGCTGAGACCTTATTTTTATAATATTGGATGGAAATACTCTAGAATGTGTTCACTGGTCCTCACCTCATTAAATGCGCTGCACTATATATCATTCTGCTCCAACCTGGTGACCCAAAGCCCTGTTAATGTGTATGAGGCTGTTTGTCCACACACTAAATGACCCTACGTTACTGCTGATGAAACGGGAGAAAGAGAACTTGCTTTGGTCAAGGAATACCTTTAGCTATACTTGTAAGTTATTCGGATCTGGTCGGCAAGTAGTGTGAGGCCTTTGCATGGTCTGTGACAGTCACAGGACGGGCTCGGCCTCATCCTCAGAGGTTGTTTTCACTTCCTCGTCTCAGTTATGCCCCTTCTCAGAAGCCTGATGCTGGAAAAAGGGGATTGCTGCAGTTTTCTAATTTTAGGCCCTTGAGAGTGACAGTCGTGCCCTTAGCCACTAAGGGATAGTTATTGGAAAGATTTTTCAGGTAATTTTTTGCTATATTTAACAAAGTGAGTAGAAGAATTTCTATACTGGATATGTATAAGGTCCCCTAGTAATGGTCCCAGAATTATTATATATTCCTGGCATGGATATAAGAACTCTCCCCCACAACCCTCACCTCACTTGCTGGCCGGGACCAACCTCCCTTTTGCCCTTTCTTTCCATCACCAGCCACATGGGTTGCCATGTTGCATATCTTTTTAAACAGCGAGGCTCCTTTCAGAGGAGCCTGCCCACTGTAGGAAATCCAGACCAGAGTCAAAAACTCTCGTGTTTACCAGACTCAGGCTACTTCCCTAAATAAGTGAAACCGCTCACATGGCACAGTGGGGACTAGAGAAATGGCGAGCTTCTGAAACTGGGGTCCCTGCTTCTCATACTCAGCTGCTTGTTACTAGATGGGGTGTGGAATTGTCAGAAGTTGATTTTTCAGGAAAATTAAAACAAGACAAAACAAAACAGATTTTTATGTGATTATTCCTGATTTTTAAAACGGCTTGCAATTTGGGCTGTAATTGGTTGTAGCCTTACAATTTTTAACCCTGTGTAGCCCTTGGCTGATGGTTGGGGTTGGCTTAGTCTAGAGCTAAAGACCAGACGGCTCCTCCGACCACAGCCCCTCACTGCCTGTCAGGCCATTGATGCCACTTCACATCCTTCCCTCCAAACATCTGAGCCCAGAGTCCTTCCTCAGCACCTGGACACAGCATGCCCTGGGACTCTCTCACCCGGATCCGGAGGAGCGCAGGAGTGTCCGTGTGACTTCTGTGGCTGGAGGAGGAAGTGTGTGTGTGGAGACAGAGTGGGGCTAACTTAGTGTCAGAGCTTTAAAGTCGACCATTGGAGTTGTAATGTGGAATGTCTTCCCGTGGAAGTAATGCACAAATGAAGCACAGGTTCCACCGTATCATGGTTTTCATTCCATTACTTCTTCAGTTAAATAGGTTTTGAAGTGATTACTTTGATATTCAGCAGCTATTTTGAAGACTTTGATTTTGGGGGAAAGATGTTTCTAACTGCCAAAGGACTGAACTACAAATAACCTTCTGTGTGTCTGTCTGAGTGCTGTACATGTGTACTCTTTATGTTACCGCAGGGGTATAGAATAGATAATTTACAACAATTTATCAACAATGAAGAGTGAAATATGAGACACCCATTCCCAGTCTGTTTTCTGACTTTTTCCTATTCATTTATGAGATTTAAATGCCTCAAATACTTGAACAGAATTATATATTTATTCTAGTTGGACTAGTCTTTTTGAGGGTTTCAGCTCATTAAAGAATTCTGTAGAAGCACAAAGAGGAGAGGACCTTCAGAAAGGCTCCTTAAAAAGGAGAGGCTGACCTGGACTACCACTAATGTTAAATGCTGTAAATTGGTCTGAGAGGTAAAATAGAATCAATACTTCACACTCCTTTGTTAGTTTCCAGAAATTAAATTGGCCGTATGTTTGGTCCTGGATCAAAGACTAACAAAGCATGGTATTCACTTGTTTTCTCATAAAAACATCAAAAATCCCTACCCTCTACTAAAAGGTGTGAAATTATTTTTCAGCTAGAGCAAAACGTTAAAGCATCTATTGGTACATATCCACAATATAGTAGTGGGGTTTTCAATGGGAAATTGCTCTGAAATTAATATGAACTTGGGCAAGTCATCTAACCTTTCTAAGCCTGTTAACTTATCTCTAAAATGAATGTAACATAGGGTGGTTTGGAGTATTAAATAAGATGGAATATATACATCTTTATAGTATCTAGCCCATAGATATTTCACATGTAGTTATTATGATTGATATTATTATTTGTTTGGATCAGAGCCTTCTAGGCTATTTTAGAACTCAAGCTTTTATTTTTCGTCTTTTATCATGTGTCTTTTGTTACATTTTTAACATTTTTATTGAGGCATAATTCACATAAAATTCAGCCATTTAAAGTATACAATTCAATAGTAAACTCAGAGTTATGCAGCCATCTCTATCTAAGTTTAAAATATTATCATCACCACAAAAAGAAGCTCTGTGCCTCTTCGCACGGAATTGATGGCTGATAATATTCCTTCTATTGCTGAGTGTTGCTGGAAATACATCACGTTTTGTTTACCTGTTCATTAACGGGCGGACATTTGGGTTGTTTCCACTTTTGGGCTACTGTGAATAATGCTGCTGTGAACATTCATGTACAAGTTTTTGTGTGGATGTAGCTTTCATTTTCTGGGAATGGGAATGCTGGGTCATATGGTAGCTCTATGTTTAGCAATTTCAGGAACTGCCAAATTGTTTTTCATACTGGCTGCACCATTTGCATTCCCACCATCAATGAATCAGTGTTTTAGTGTCTGTACAGCTTCACCCACACTTACTATTTTCTGTGGGGTTTTGTGTGTGTTATAACCTCCTAGTGGGTGGGAAGTGGTATCTCAGGGCGGTTTTGATTTTCTTAATGACTAAGGATGTTGAGCATCTTTTCATTTGCTTATTGGCCATTTGTATATCTTCTTTGGAGAAATGTCTGTTCAAATTCTTTGCCCATTTTGTAATTGGGTTAATTGTCTTTTATTATTGAGTTGCAAGAGTTCTTTATATATTCTCCATACAAGTCCCTTATCAGATACATGCATGATTTACAGATATTTTCAACCCATTCTGTGGGTTGCCTCGATATTAGTTTTTTAAACTGATAAATCTGAACATCTGTGTATTTAATGCTTCCATGCCCTCCTGACTGATTTGCATAAACTCTCTTCCCAGCCTCTGTTTCTCTACCTTGCTCTCCAGTCTGTCCACGAGCCCCTTCAGGTCCCCGAGGAGTACCTGAAGCCGTACGACTTTATCCAAGATAAGAACAGGCGTCACTATGCAGGAATGGTTTCCCTTATGGATGAAGCTGTGGGAAATGTCACCGCAGCCTTAAAAAGCCGTGGGCTCTGGAACAACACGGTGTTCATCTTCTCCACAGGTAAGCCTGTCAACAGGAAAATCCTCTCTTGGCAAAGTTTAGGACATGGTATTTGACGAATGGAATGAAGACAAATTAGAGCATTTAGCGGTTGGTTCCTTATTGAAATGAATGCTAACTGCAAGAGTGAAGACATGATCATAATGGGTAGAAAGATGTGTCTAAGGAAAAAGAACTACGGGCTTCCCCACCTTTCTTCCAATAGGAAAATATTCTGGGAGTATGCTTGACAACAAGTGTTTTCTGAGTTAAGTATGAGAGGGCATCCCTCACACAGGGCAGCTGGGCACTGAATCCTTGGCCTGGCTTGTTCTCAGCAATCTCTGCAGCCCAGGCTCTGTCAGGAGGACTTCTGCTGACTGCAGGGGGCTCTGCGTCAGAGACAGATTGTGACATCATGAAGACAGATAAGAAATGGAGCCATTTAAATCTAGGCTAGAGCCGCCAAGTATAGATTTTTTTACATTAAAATTTTCTGACAATAAAAGTTATCCATGTTGATGATAGGAAAAACAGAAAAGTAGAAAGAAGAAATTTCTTGAAAATCATTATTATGGCAATGTCATTCCGACTTCTAACCTGTTATATATAGTAGACATAGTTTCTATTCCCTAGGGATGTACTTTGGGTATAGGTCTTGGTTTATTCATTATGTTGAGTACTCGGGAGAGTACTTCCTATTGGAAAATGCTGATCATTTTTTTATGGGAAATTTCTTGTATTATTTATGGCAGAATTGTTTGACCCTCCATCCCACCTTCCTCCCAGTCTGCCTTCACAAAACTCCTGTTATTTGGATATTGGATTAATCCTCTAATCAATCAATCTCTCTCTCTCCCTCTCTCTCTCTCTCCCCTCCTATTTTCTTTTCTTCATCATTATTTTCTCATTATTATTTTATAACCATTCTATTGAATTCATTGTATCAACCATAGTTTTTAATTATCAAGGACTTTTTCTTATTTTCTGATAATTCATTTTTTGTGTGAAGTTTTTTTAAAAATCATTTTTTGGGTGCAATTAATAATTTATTTCTCCAAAGCCTGTGCTCTTAACCATTAATTGTGTGTGTGTGTGTGCGTACACGTACATATAGTTTTAAGTTTGCTTATACTCCCAATGTTGTCTCTCTTCCTTCTAAGGTTGTTTGTATCTTTGTTTTGGTCTGCATTTTATGAAGGAGCTTTCTCAAATTCCTAGTGTTCCTTGGCTACAACCTGAGGTTGTGTTTTTAACCTGTTTGTAACCTGGTGAGTTTTACTGTAAAGTGACTGTGTAAGGGGTGTGAAGTGGCATGTTGAAGAATGAATCTGGTTATTGTACTCATAGTTGTTTTGTGTGTTTTTAAAGGTTGTTTTGTTTTGCTTCCAATAGGGCATGGTTATTGAATCTAGCAATTATTGTGTGCTTACTACTTGCAGGACATAGCTCTAAGTGCTTTACGGAAATTAGTTAAATTGATCCTCACAATAGTTCTCTTGCAGGTGTGAGAACGGAAGCACAAAGAGGCTGAGTAACTTGCCCAAGGTCACACAGCCAGGCAGAGCCAGGCACCAGCCTTTCTGGCTCCACTGCATCTCCTGCCTCGGAGGTGATGCAGATGGTGGTCTGGATGTTCTTATTGGACCTCATGACATAGCAGAACTTTCTGCATGGTGTGCTGCAATACCAATCTCTCGAGGAGCCTGGGTAAGGCCAGGGGCCACCCTGAGCAACCTTGTTCCGCTGCTATAATTTTCTAAGTATTCTCTGTTGTGGAAAGGGTTGCTATTACATTTATTTTTCCTCCAAAACTTACTCTTCAGAAAAGAGGGAGACATCTTATATACAAGTCCGTATAAGATCTCTCTCATACTGAGGGTTTTTCTCAATTGGCTTTATGTCGAACAGCCTGGAAAACACGTTGATCAGTGTTGGTACTGAATACTTATAGAGGTTACTCACTGAAAGAAGCAATAACAAAAGAGGTCAAGAAATTTATACTCATTTAGTAATTATTCCTGGGGAATGACCTCACGATTATAAGAATTAGCAGTGGTAAGTTTATAAAACAATCTTTGTTGTAGAGATCAGAGTGATATAGTTTAAAGATAAATTATTTCCTGAAACAAAAATATCTATGTATTAATGTGTCATATACAGACTGAAAGTCTCTCTGGATAAGGAACTTGAGGCTTAGAGAACATTAAGTAACTTGATTAGGGTCACATAGCTGGGAGGTAACAGAGTGAATCCACATATGTCTAACTCAATGCTTTCTTATTCATTTGTGAACTCTTTGAATTTGTTTCAACTAGTGCTCCTCCTAAAACTGTAATTCTTGCTGCTTTTTATATAGTAACTAGTGGCCCGGTGCATGAAATTCATGCACATTAGAAGGGAATTACTTAGAGCAAATATTTTAATATTTCTATTTGCCCTTTCTCTATAATATAAGTGTCAGAGATGAAAGAAAATTAGTAAAATGTATATGAAAATCTTTCATATATAGACTGAAAGTGCTCAGACAGAGAAGATGGTAGCTCTGGGAAACTGCCAGATATCTCAAAGTGGCTCCTGTGACAACGGATATTCATGTCAAGTAGGCATGTGAAGGAGTAGAATAAAGTTTTTTCATGATGTATGAAAGTGTGGGGAAAATCAATATTTAAAGATATTTTCTTACATGATTTCAAGTGTGTATACATAACTTTTAAATAGATAATTGACTATTTTGTAAACATCCATATTTATTCAAGTCAGCAAAAATAATTTTTGGAGCTTTTCACTAAGAAAATGGGGATTACTTTATATTAAGGTTGTCTCACTATTATATATATATATATTTTTTTTTTAATTAAATCTTTATTGTTGAAAGTATTACATATGTCCCATGTTTTCCCCCCATTAACCCTTTCTAGCTGGCTCCCCTTCCCCCTCCCCAGGCCTTCACCAGCCTATTGTTTGTGTCCGTGGCAACACTATGATAAATTAGTAGATATATTAGTCTTGGACCATGTTTGCTTTGTTGGGCTGGGCTAAATCCAACTTGATCCTGTATATGCATTTTTATTATTCTGCTGAATTCAATTTGTTAGAGGTTTATTTAGGATTTTTATATTGAGTCAGGAGTGAAAAGTGGTGGGGGGCGCGCTTTTTCTCTCTGTGTCAGGTTTTGTTGTCTTGGTTATGCTCACTTAATAAAGCAGTTTGGATGGTTTTTTTCATTTTTTTTCTTTGCTCTAGAGCAAGTTGACAGGCTGTTTGAAAGATCTGTCTGGGTAAGCTGGTCCCTGAAACCATTTTTGGAGGCTTTTTAAAAAAATTATCCTCATAGTTTAGATTTTTGCTGAATTATATCTAGGCGTGGGTCATTAAAATATTTTAAAATTAATTTTGCCTGAAATACACTGAACCCTTTGATCTCTACGCTGAGATTATTTTTCACTCCAGGAAGTTTTCCCTGTTCATATTATAGCTTATTGCTTTTGTTCTGCTTGATTTATTTCTCAAAAGTATCTTTAATTAGTACGTTGAATCACCGACTCAATGTCTCTCTCATCATTTTCTGTGTTTTGTCCTTTTTCTCAGTCTTCTGGATCCAGCTCCTCTGCATTACAGTTTTGCAATTTTAATTCTGCTCTTTGATATCGCCAGTGTAGATTGCTATTGATTTTGTTTTTAGTTGCTTTGTTTGCCTTAGTCAGTTCACTGGTCATGTCATTAAGCATTACATTAAAGCTCAATGTAACCTTGTGAAATAAGTTTCTTCATCTCCATTTTATAAATTTATTTGAGGCCCAGTGCACAAATTCATGCACGGGCCTGCCCTGATAGGGGCCCATTGGGCCAGGCCAGCGGGGGGGTTGTGGGCAGTTGGCCAGCTGGCCTGCCCCCGATTTGGGTGTTGGGGGCTGATTGGGGGCTGGGCTGGCCAGGTTCGGGGGTGATTGGGGCCTGGATCAGGCTGGTTGCCTGCCACAGTGTGTGTCATAGCCATCGATCATTCCAGTCATTCTGGTCATTCCGCTGTTCCAGTTGCTGGATTTTTATATATACTAGTATAGATAAATGAAGAATGAAAGAGGTCAAGTGCTTTTCTCACAGCCACTACTACTCTGAATGTTTTTCACTCTAAATTCATGTGTTGGAATATTAATGCCCAATGTGATGGTGTCAGAAGGTGGAGCCTTTTTGAGAGTCAAAGGCTGGGAATAAGATGGTCAGATAAATGGTGTGCTGGTGGAGAGGAACCCGGGCAGCATCCTCAGCTATGAGCCATGAACATGAGCAAGGGCAGAATGGAGAACAGTCATGTAGTAGGAGGTTCAGCACAGCACGGCTGGGGCCCAGAGTACAAGGTGGGGAATGGTTAGATGTGAAGCTGGTGATTGTAATGTAAGACCTGGTTCAGAGAGGAAGGAGGTAGAAGGTGCTCTGAAGGCCGTGGGGAAGCATCAAAAGGTATTAAGTAGGATCATATTTTCATTTTAGGATTAGTGTGGAGGAAGATTGAAGGCAGATTGGCATTTTAGAAGGTGATGGAGGTCAAGAGGGGTAGAGGGTAAGGAGGGCCTGAGTAAAGGCAGAGAGAAATTTGAAGGAGGTGAAAGGCAGATTTAAGAAATGCATAGGAGAGCCTGGACAGTTGATCTCTGAGAATCCTTGTTACTAGGAAAGTTGAGTGCTGTAATTCTGTGCTTTCAGAACTTTCATCAGGACTGGTGATAGCCTTTGATGGGACCATCCCTTCTGTTGGCAATAGGGTGCATTTGCAGAGAGCTGTAAAGAATGCAGCCTGTGGCCAGAGTGCCCGTGTAGCCCACAGAGCAGTAGATTCATAGTCCATTTGGGACTGGGGTGGGGTCTACTGGGAAATGTGCAGAAATGGCTTTGGCTGTCACAGTGTTTTGAGGGTGAAGTCATTTGAAGGACCAGCCCTGTAGTGCTCAGGCAGCCCTGCACAGTGGAGACATGTCCTGCCCCATAGGGTCAGGAGACCGTCGAAGAGCCCTGACTGG